ACCTTCCTGGTCAGATTGGAGATACATTGTTTCAAATAAGGGGTCAAAAACCCGCATTAAATTCTGGGCAACCTAATACAAGAGGAAGCTCTTTGATTATAGTATGCTTGTCATGTTGGATCGTAAAAATCACAGAGCTCACCATGTTTTCCCAAATCTTGAACTTATGCAGAGGTATCTGGAAAACTGGGACCGCACTCTCCCCTGATAATATAGAACATCAACTCCTATTGCAGCTAATCAGTGAAGGTCATAGTACGGATTGAATCCGTACGCAGATGAAAACGATTCTAAATAATTATTGAGTGAGTGGCATGCCCTGAAAAGACTGACCAACGGCAAAACTTACACTTTGTTCTGCTGAGTAATCTACTGAATAGCTCTAAGTTTATTTCTCATTTTCTTTTCCTCAAATGTAACTGGACCGCGTTATTGTATCTGACTGAATTTTGCAACAACTTTTTTTCGAATTCAAATACGTAAGTACTACTGCAAAACCCAGCAGCAATCACGGTGAAAATTACCAAAAGTGATTGCCTACTGGTTGTCAATGTTTCGTTGACTATCACCTGCACAGAAGCACGCTTATAGTGGAAAGGTTTCGTTATTGCAAGTTGATTGCAAATTACAATATTTTATTTAATCGCTATCTTCGAAATTTAAATACAAAATAAAAACACTCAGTTGCATTAATGTCTTTTTCTCAATTTTCTCATTGGTCGTTTTTTGTATGATCGTCGATGGGCACGATGTCCTTTCTTGGATCTCTTCTTTGTCCGTGGCAGTGGTTCGTCGGTTGGCTTGAAACCTGGTGGCATGCCACGTGTGCTCACTGGAGTATTATCTTCATCCTCATCGAAGCTGACTGTTCTGGTTGGACAAGGGCAATATTCGGCATCATCACCTGGCAATCCTTCTGCACCATCTTCACCTGGCTCTCCTTCAGGGCCAGGCTCACCAGGGTTGCCGGGAAATCCTGGGGGTCCTGCTGGACCAACCGGTCCCATACCTCCATCGGAGCCGTTAGGCCCTGGCGCACCAGGAGCACCTACTGGTCCGATGGGACCTTCTTCTCCGGGTTCTCCGACGCCATGTTGAGCTGGCATCCCAGGCATTCCTGGTGGGCCGTCAGGGCCAGGCAGCCCCGGCGGTCCTTCATCGCCAGGTGGTCCAGGTTCTCCAGGTGGTCCGACGTCACCGCTTTGTGCAGGCATACCCGGGGGGCCATCAATGCCCTGATCACCAGGAGGTCCCGGTGGTCCAGGTGGTCCTCGAGGACCTATAAGGCATTTTATGCATCCAATTGGGCCTCCTGCTCCCGCAATCGCAATACCACTATAGCCTTGTCGTCCGGGCTCACCCGGAGGTCCTTCATCTCCTGGTTCTCCTTGTGGTCCAGGAGGGCCAGGAGGTCCAGGAGGGCATTTTTGCGATCGTTTACCGCATTTGCAGCGATCTTCAGTGATATGTCGACTTTTACGACTTGACCAGCCTGCTCTTCGGACTCTGACAGTTTCGTTAGGAGCTATTCTCATTCGATCCCACGCAGTGTTGGCCAAGTCCTGCAAAAGCAGTCTCTGTTCTGTCGCCCTGTCTGTTTACGCTTACGGTGAAACTCCAGTTCGGGGGGGGGCACTCCATTTTTTCTCCAATACTCAAGATAAGGATTAGAGGGCTCACGACACGTAATCGACTCATTTAAAGTAGACTTCTGATAAATATTGGTGTAATGGGTGAGAAACCCTGAAATTTTCACATTTCCGCCTGCCATGACCCAAGGGAACGGTCCTGGACCAGGAGAAATGGACACCTCTGCCTAGGGCTAAGGGTGGAGGAGCTCCAGGGTGGATGACCTGTGCAGAAAAGTGGATAGGATGTGGGCAGGAGTGTGGAATGTAGGACATCCACCGGTCCTTATCAAAAGTACGCTCGAAATGAGTCGTTCACTTATTATCTTATCCGTAGTGTTCGATAGCCCAAAGAACTGCTCTAGTACTACGGATAAGATAGCATGGAGTGGCCCCCCCAAACTGGAGTTTCGCCACGCTCACTTTGAAATTACCTTGAACTGAGCAAGTTCTACGATGGTATCGTCGTAGAAGTTGTTGATATCTTTGACGAGGTAAACAATGAAAGCCAGGCAGATCGTCGTCGAAATGGCCGTAAACACCGCCACAATAAATCCGACCGTTGACGCGGCCATATCAAGGTCTGAAATGTACAAAAACAATTTCATGGCCACGTTCATGAAAAAGGCGGCCAATGGAATGCGCTCCATTCTGTCACTTCACAGGCTTAATGATCGCAAAGGACGCTGTTTTTAAGGTGTCCGAACCAGTCTCGGAATCAGGTATCCCATGTTGCCACAATGCTGCCAGTTGATACCAAGCTTGCCTAAGGAAAATGCCGTTCCTAACGCAAATTTGCATATGATCTCTGCAAGCCGTTGTAGGGCCATTGGGCACTCAGAGAGCATCCTCAAAGGTTCCTGCCACTAGGAAAGAGAGTGGAGCGCTTAACAATGTCGAACTAGTATTTTAGTCTCGTTTTCGCTGAATCGCTGAAGGACTTCGGGTTTTGGCGGAGTTTTTCCACTGGTTCACCTGATATTTAGAAAGATACGGGATGGTATAGTCTGAAGCGCTCGTCGCATGCCAGATAACATCGGTACATCACCAAGGTCTCCTGATAGGCACGGCTTTTGAGGACTGAAAGGCTGATCTGTACTTTGGCTAAAACCCCCCCCCCTCCACCGCAAGTCATGACATTGACGGATCTGGTACACATGTCACCACGATTTTGGACGAATCTGAATGCCGAAACATCTGTGAGCAGGCTCGTCATAGTTAAGGTTCTGTACTTATAATGGATGTGGGGATAAAAAAAAGGATAAAAAAGGATAAAGCATTTGCCGTTAATGAATCCCTTTTTGGGATGCGGCACGCATTGCGCACGGATGCGGCATTTCTTGGTTGGCCCAGGCGACTCATGACCCAGGATTTGATCCCCGGACCGCTCGCGTGGTAAGCATGCCTCTTGCCGCTACGCCACTTCCGCCCTGCGTGTGGGATACTTTTGTAGAATTTATCCCAGACTTATATGAGAGGGCAATCTGAACTCGATTAGCTCACTGTGAAATTTTTTTGGTTCAAACAGTCCGTTACTTTACAAGGTTCGAGAAACAAAAGAATAATCATAAAATAAATTTACGAAGATTAACAAATATTATCCTTCTATTTTATAAAGCGCTAACTTTGTGTGTCGGTTTGTGTATCTGTATGTGTGTGTGTATGTATGTATGTGTGTCCGTCCGCAAAATGAAGTGAGTGAGAAGGAAGCTCATGGGATAAACAAACCGCTAACAAATCGGGTAGCTTACAGGATTTGAGATATCAATGTTTTGTAGCAGGATAGTTGTGATAACACTCTTAGGGCTATATAAACACTAAATTATTAGCACACGTAATAACCATGAAGTTAACACCTGCTTAGCACACTTCCGTTCATTCCACATGGTGCTGCAGTGGCAGCTGGAGGGCAGTGGAGAGAGGAAGGGAGGATGAGGAAGGGAAGCGAAAAATCTACCGTCATATCATGATTGTGTCCCTTCTACTGTTGAAACACCATTGTGTTGCATACGCGTCACTTCCACGAGGTGTTGGTGTCACAGGAGGAAGGGACCATAGCGGAGGATAGAAAGCTTGCGCAGGAAAGGAAGGTCCCGGCGGTTGACGGGGGACTAATCTGGTGAAATAAAGGGATCAACTTCTTCAACGGTAGTCACGCAATGGGTCGTATCCGAGTGTGTTGCTAACGAGAGAGTGGAGGCGGCGAAGGGCATTTTCAGCATGATCGCGCCTTCAGCCGACTTTTCATCTTCAAAGACATTGCTTTTCGTAAGCACAGAACTTTACAGCAAAATATTTCTCAATTGTCCCTTTATGAGTAGACGCAAGCTCTCCTTGACTACCCTCACCATGTTCAGAATATGACGTCATCTGCCATCGCTAAGGTCTCAAAAACATACTGTAATCACTCCAGCCTAAAGTTCTTACAGATCCCTTGAATCGATTCATATCGGTAATTCCCTTACGAAAATTAGCTCTGACTATGCACATCCCCTCCCAACCAATAAATTAAGTAATATTCTTCGCACTGGAATATCATTTAGAGCGAGGACCCGTTGAGCCCGACCTGAACGGTTTTTCTGAGGTCGTTCCCGCACAAGCCAGCGTGACATTTTTTTTTTGAAATGGAGATGCTCTTTAATATCAAGTTGGGAGCTCCATCGTCTTGTTGGCCAAAATGTGGACTAATCCGCTTCGGAATGTGTGGCAAGAGTGATTTTTATTGCTCCCTTCCACCTGTAAAAGATCTAAGTTATACGACAATCGATTATCATATAATCCCTTGGAAATCCCTTGAGAATACGATACACCTCTACCTTATTTCTGGGAGTACGCAAGAGCTTTGTCACACCTGCACAAGAACTGATCATTTCAGCGGGTAGCCTATGTATGAGGGGGTGAGAATGGTGACACCATGGGTACAACAGCTACACTCGTTACCACTGAACATGTCTCACCGGATGCCTCTCAAAGATTTAATACTACTAATCAATACCGACATCACTCTCCAGAAAAAAGTGTGGAGGGAGCTCACATTAAAATATTCATGTATAACTAAAGTAAAGAAAAGTAAGTGATATTGTAAGCTCACCGAGATTGTGAAAGGCGACTATCCGATGCTATCGGAACATGCATGGTGAGGGCTTTTATATAGCTGATTTTGCGCTTGTCGGCTTACAGCGTTTATCCACTCCGTCATGGCCAGCTAGCAAGTCCGTTTTTCAGGTGGATCAACATTTCTTTTTTGAACAATTTGTTTCGCCATCGCCCCCGCAAACCTTGCGGCAGGCAGCAATTTTGGTTTCGCATCCGGTTTCAGGGCTTTTTGAGATTGAATGTTGGTTAGCTTCCTTCTAAAATTTTACCGAAGAGATGCCCCTAGAAAAAAACGAACTTGTTTTACCACAGCAATATTAATGAAATAGGGCATATTTTCAAAGATATGCTGGATCTGACCAACCCTTTTTGTGTCGCGCCATGCATTCTATAGTTCAGAATTGACAGTGGCATCAGAATTCCATAGTTTAGCACTACCTAGACGACTATGGTTGAACGCAAGGCTCGGATGGCTTGCACAGTACTCGATCCGTTAATCGACCTCGGCCAACGTGTGCGTACTATAGATGTGAGGCACGCCCCCTTACAGTACTTGAATTATTTCCCCATACGGTACTTCATCTCGTGCGTCGAGATGCTACTGTAATTTTTTACGCCCCCACAACAACTGACACTTTTCCTAGGTAGCCTAGGACTCTGCAGTCAGTTGAGTAATGCTAATATGCTAATAATACTAGTTTGTCGTAGTTTAGTGAACTTCAACCTATGGAACTGCACTTGCTTTAGACATTTCCAGTGAATTCTGCGTCAGGATAAATTTCCCTCGTTCGATCCTGCCTCTAGTGCGCAAAATAGAATTGCAAGGCACTGTCTCCCTCCAGCCACGTTGGTTGGCCTTCGCCCATCCCTGGACGTGTTCCAACTGCAGGTGTGACGTCTACGCCATGCCCTTGGTCTCCGCTTATGTGCAGTCACTAAATCCCATGCCCAAATGTTTGGATACTTTAATAGCTAATGAGCAACACTGGCTCTCATCATGCTTTTGAAACCGAAATCGGCACTACCTGGAGGAGCGGACCTCCTTTCCTCATTCACGGTCATTCATGGATGACTTAACTACTCCGCTAACTTTCAGTTTATTGCGAATTTTGCCTTCAGGTGACCTAAATTAATAAAGTATGCCCAAAGTCATGGTAGACTGGAACCAGGGTCAAGCGAGGCGTCGAGGAAAATTTGGAAATACGACCCCCCCCCCCCCCTCCGCCGGAGGCCGAAGTCCATGAAACAACCCTCTTCAAAAGCCGAACTATGAAAAAGTTGTTTAATTCTCCCCCAAAACTGCTCATAAAAAAGCCCTGCTACCCCACCGTCCACAAAAAAATTCGTTTAAGAAGTACAAAAGTGAAAAAGTCAAAGAATAATCATTATTGATGAGTCCTACCAAACGAGCAAACGAGAAACAGACCAAAAAACGACAAACTAGCCACTAAAAATGGCATACTATGACAACATCTGTTCTTTATTTATTTCCTCCACAAGACTTACCAAATTCTAGTACTACACAGATTGTGGTTCTCAATTTGCACGTAGCCCTTCAGTTGAAAGAAGCTTTTTAAGCCTTCGCCAGCTGTGTGTTGACTGGACTTTGGCGTTGACCGTGGAGCAGCTTATTTACTATTGAAATTTGAACAAATATTCAAATGATTATAACTTTCTTCAAATATGACGAATTTTCAATCTGAAAGCAGATTTGGAGTTTTGAAGAGCTTTTTCTAATCAGTATGAAATTACAAAAAGTTATAAGAAATAACAAATTTAGATCAATTAACGAGGAAAATTCGAGATGAGCACGAGTTTTTACACTTTCCGAAGCAATAACTTGCTTCATTTTCGTCAAATTCGAAAAGTTAATATGGCATACAAAACTAGAAGATTTTCTCTATCAAACGGTTGCTAAAGCAGCTTCTATACGTCCAGTATTCAAAAAATGGCCACGTTGAGGATTTTGCAAAATTAACGAGGAAAATTTGTGATGAGTGCGAGTTTTTTTACTTCCTAAAGCCATAACTCCGTTCAAACTCATCCAATCCGAAAAGTAAATACGCCATCATAAACTAGAAGATTTGCTCTATCAAATGCTTACTAGAACTGCTCCAAACGTCCAGTATTAAAAAAACGGCTACGTTGAGGATTTTCGCACGAGTACCGCCGAAAGGTACTTTTTCGCTACATTGGCACTATTTCAAACGGCTGTATATCCTTTTAAGGGCGATTATGTACTAAAGTAAGAGCAGATTTGGAATCACTGCTTTCTCTCTCTAAGAAAAGTGATTGATTAGCGTTTCTCAACTTTAAAGGTTACATGTTTATAAATTTAACCCTGAAGAGTCCGTTAACGCAATGTTGAATGGTGTACACCTCCCTGTAAATGCGCACGGACACTTTCAGAATTCTCTCGATTGTTCCTGAATTGAGGTTGTTTGTCCAAGGAGCCGTAGTTGAAGCGCGCGCAACAACT